TCAGGACGAAAGACTTCTTCCATCAAATGCTAGCTGATGATACCACCTGCGTGTCATGTCTGTTTGCCTGTATGTTTGTGTATGTGCGTGTCTGTCTATCTGTGTGGCCACCTGTATGTCCGTGTGGTTGCATGTATGTCCGTGCGGTTGCTTGTATGTCCGTGTGTTTGTGCGTGTCTGTGTGTTCCTGGTGATGGTGTCTGATATGATAATGCTAAACTTGGAAGCGAAAAAATTTGCTGGTGTGATGATCCATGGTACCATCACCAATTGGTAGGCTGTCGATAGTTCGAAACTCGCCACTGCCCCTCACACTGCTCGTTCAAAACACGTTTCACTCGCGATGATACAGGGATGGAAATCCCGCTAATACGTTAGCCATAGTAGAAAGTATTGGCACATCCAGAAGCAGGAACCCCCTGGGGGATAACTACTTTCTTCATCCTGTACTAAAGTCAAAACCATCCATACTGGGCACAGAAAAATCGAATCAAGATGTACGTGCGTTAGCAGAGATACATGTAAAATTTTATCAATTATCGATAAAATTTTATCAGCAACTTAAAGATGTGCAGTTCTCGCTAAAATTTCCACCACGATAGAAAACACTGCTGCATCCAGAAGCAGGAACAAGATACCTCGCTCTTATCCTGAAGGGGACATGTTAAGGATGTAAAAAATCGAAAGAAGACAAATAAAGATTAGTTGTGGCGAGAGACAAAATTTTATTAGGTGCAAAAATTGAACAAAAAATTTTAAAATCAGTTGGGAAGTGCTGCTTAGTAGGCGTAAAAATGGTTGGGATATCAAAGATGACAATTCACCTAATGAACATTTATATCAACAATTTTCTTTTTTAACCAAACCCTTGGCAAATATATATACATATATATATGTATTCGTCAAACGGGGTATATATCTACACCCTGTTTGATGAATAAATGTATCGTACCGCAGTGTCGAGAATACCAAGATTAGTTGAGCTATCAGTGTGGGTATTCCCATGTTAATGATGTTACTGGTACTTTCCGGGAGATTATGCAGCACGGGGTCAAAGGGCCTGGCCGTAGCTAGTGCATATCTCCTGTTAGTAATCACCTGCAGCAGATCTCCTGTTCGATGTGTGGGCGCCACTTTAGTTAGCATAAATGTCAAATATTAACATAAAAACTGCGTTAAAATACGGATAAAATGGTCCAAAAACGCGCAATTCAATGCCAAAAATATTCCAAGCGAAAGCACCGAACCATCTTGGCGGGGGAAATATGTACACCTTGCTGAGAATTAGGTATCGCCAACAGCACACACACTAGCAGTATCGAATAAAAACAGCAAAACAACAACAAATCGATTCAAAAATCCATCTCTGTTTCCAAGACCTGGTGCCATGACAACACATTAAATTACCAGCAATTTAAAGTCAAATAAAAGGGGGCTTTTTTGTTTGGTGGATGAAATGGTACTAAAATACCATATGAAAC